GGGTGTACAAAAGGACAATAGGGGGATGGCTCTTCATTGCCATACACAAAGAACAGGAAACTTAAGTCAAGGAGGTACTAATTCAAGGTAAGCTTTTCAGGAGAAATGAAACTTAAGTCAGGAAACGAAACCTAAGGCAGGCAGGTAAGCTTTTCAGGAGAAACGAAACTTAAGTCAGGAACCAAATGGATGCAACAGGGACCCTGGAGGTCATTTAGTCCAATCCTTGCTCAAGCAGGAGACCCTTACAGAATCACAGAATAACACAGCTGGAAGGGATCTTGGAGGTCTTCTAGTGCAGAGGTCCCCAACCTTTTGGGCACCAGGGACCCGTTCTGTGGAGAGAGGTTTTTCCACGTGGTTTTGTGTGCTCCCTGCATCTCGTGGATGGGGCTTTGCTTGTTTATGCGGCCCGATTGCTGGCATGCTGCGGCCCGGTACTGGTCCATGGACCGGGGGTTGGGGACCCTGTTCTAGTCCAACCCCCTGCTCAGGCAGGAAATCCTATATATCATTTCAGACAAATTGAGTGTCCAATATCTTCTTAAAAACTTCCAGTGTTGGAGCATCCACAATTTCTGGAGGCAAGTTGTTTACTTCTGAAGACAAAGCTTGTCCACCCCAAGGACAAAACACTCAAAGTCTTCAGCCCTAAACCTCTGTGTGGTCGGCGTGCCGAGCATACAGCTGAGATCGGCGCCGCTTTTGACTTTCTGCTCCCTGGTGGATCCGGCTGCTTCTCCCCCTCCTTTACGTTCCCCACTTTAAGACCCTCCCCTTGCTCTCCCCCCCGCCCCACCCCCTTTCCAGCCCGTCCGTCCAGGCCCCTGGCGCTTCCCGACCGCCCAGGCATCATGTCCCGCTCGGAGGAGGTGAACCGGCTGACCGAAAACGTCTATCGGGTGAGCCGCACTCCGTACACTTTTGCTACAGGTTCTTCTCCAAAACTTCTTTCGGTCTTCCTTTCCCTCCCGTCTCTCCTTCTTCTTTTTCTTTTTCTTCCCCATGTCCCTGGATTTCCTTCCGTGACTCCCTCCGTCTTTCTCTTCTCCTGTTTAATTCCACCTCCGCAATTTGGCTGGTCCCTCGATCGATCCCTCCCTGCCTCGCCCCGTCCCCCCTTCCCTTACCTCCTTCCCGCCTCCCGGCATACCGTGTACACCCTTCCTGCTCCCCAGGCTCAATTCGTTATCCGAGTTTCTCTTCCCTCCCTTCCGCCTTGATTCTGCGCTGGATCATACATTTTGGCTTTTCTGGACTGTCTTAGCAGCGTTTTTTTCGCCTCCTAAAAACCGGAGGGTGGGTGGTGGTAGAAGCAGCAGGAGGTGCGTGGAAAGAGAGAAGTAAGGAATTGGGACATAATGTTCCAGGAAGCCCCCTAGCTCCGCTGCGCCGCCCCCCCCCGTACCATCTTTGGGAAGCAGAGAAAATGCCAGACTTCAAGGCAAAATTAATACCAGGAGCTAGTAAGTTTTCCTTTTCTTCCTGTGAACAATCCACTGCCTAATTACTAAAACCAAACAGAGAACTTGCAGAGACTGGAGGCGAAAAAAAAACCCCGTTTGATTCCGCTATTAACGGATAGATTTAATGGTTTGTAGCGGTTAGGACGCCCGTTGCGGCGAATGGCGATTGGGAAGCCTTCTGTCTTTGCTTCGGCTTCATGATTTGAGCCCGAACCACGGCGAATTTTGGCGTGTGGCTGGAAAAATGTGGGGAAACTTTGTCAAAGATTTTTTTGGACTCGGTTCCTTCTTTGAAACTACTGGCGGAATCTCTAGGAAAGTTTCCTTGAGCTCGCACGTGAAAAAAAGCATAATAATAATAATAATAATAATAATAATAATAATAATAATAATAATAATAATAATAATAATAATAATAATAATAATAATAATAATAATAATAATACAATAATAATAATAATAAATAACAACAACATAAATCAATACAAGAAGACAAGGAACTTGACAAGTTAGGTCAGGGGTCTTCAAACTTGGCCCTTTTATGACTTGTGGACTTCAACTCCCAGAATTCCTCAGCCAGGCATGCTGGCTGAGGAATTCTGGGAGTTGAAGTCCACAAGTCATAAAAGGGCCAAGTCTGAAGACCCCTGAGTTAGGTTCTGATGAAGATGGAGGAGTTTGGTAATGGTGCTCCCCTCCCATTCCCCCAATGGAAATGATGGAAATTTCATGCCAAATCCCTCCCCCCCCCAACTTGGCTGGAGATGAAAAAGAAAACTTAACCCATTTGTTGCTCACCCTCCTTTGAAACATTTGGTTCCCCTTCCCTAATTATCTTGATGGCAACTGAGGGGGTTATTTTCTTATCGGTAAAGGAAACAGGCATCAGCCAGGGTTCCTGTGCTCCCTGCTTGTTGCTGCCATAACTCAGGAAAGCCACATTTGGCATGACATGGGGCGAAGCCATCCCTTTTGTGAGGGTGGGTGGAGAAAAGCTCCTTTAAGGTCTGCAGAATTGGGATCATGAGGATAGTAATGCCTATGGGAAGCTGGAGTATGTTGATACTCACCAGTATTTCTTAAATTATGGAGGTATTTTATGCCGGTCTCTGCACTAAGGTGAAGACTTGATATGAGACCTATACCAAGGCTATAATGGTGGATACTCACCAATATTTCTTATGGGAATATTGTATGCCAGTCTTTGCAGTAAGTTGAAGGATATGGGAACTACAACAAACCTATAGAATAGAACAGGTAGAACAGATGGAGACTGTAATGTATTGAGTTAAATTTATGAAGCAGGTGGCTGGGATCTGTGCAGGAACGGGTTAGCAGACCACGTGGCCTGCTAGCCAGACTTGCTGTCTACAAGACTGATTAGTATGCATTTGAGCGGGAGAATACTGTGCTCTCATTGGCTGACGCCGCCCAGAGTTGAATGTATAAATAGGGGTGGAGCAATGCTTGTTAGTTTCTGTTTTTGACTTCAATAAAGAAGTACTTGTTTCTATTGCTGCCTCTTCAATGCTGAACCAAGCAGAAAACAGAATATTGGCGACGAAGGTGGGATCGTGCTGCCGCTATTTGAAGAGCTGAGTCACTACGGGGGTCAAGCCTAGCAAGCGCTTGGTTGGAACAGCGTTCCACACACCCCTCCCCCCCACTCTATCCTGCCAGTAGGAAAACGCTGGAGGAGAGTGCTTCCAAGGTTTTGCCCTGGAAGTCCCATGGAAGCCTGCACAGCACGAGGCATTGAAAAGGCCGCAAAAGACTCATCATGGTGAAGATCGGAAAACTCTGAATTCGACGTCGCTCATCCAGAGAGGTGGAGCTCGTACGTCGCGAGAGTTGAAAATTACCTGTGGGTAAACCAAGTTCGAGATGACGGATTGAAGGCCGTGACACTTTTGTGTGTTTGCGGTCAAGCCACTTTCGATATCGCAGAGAACTTGGTTGCACCAGCGCCGCTTGAGTCCATCGCATACGCAGAACTCAAGAAGATGCTCAAAGAACATTTTGTGCCCAAGCTTTCAGTCATCGCTTGGCGGCACGCTTTTGAACAGCAAGACCAGTGTCCCGGCAAGTCCGCCGCCGACTTCATAGCCACCCTTCGCCAAGCTGCATGGCCATGCGAATTCAAAGATCTTGAAGAAAGGCTGCGGGACCGCTTAGTTTGTGGTCTAAGGAGCCGAGAACTGCAACAGAAGATCTTTGCTAAAGAGACTATCTCATTTCAAGACGCGTTGAGGGAGATAATGGCCGAAGAAGCAGCCGGTGGATCTGTTAAGGCCTTGCGGCTCTCCAAGAACCCTCCTTGCACGGAGGCCGTCCACCACGAGAACGTCGAGAGAGTTGAAGACTCTGACTCGGACCACGGACCACAGCAACCCCCGGAAAGAAGGCCTCAACGGCAACCTGACAAGGCAGTTTCCTTCTCTCGGTGTATCGGGTGTGGAGGCCAACACAAACGGGCTGACTGTCGGTTCCACACAGCCACAGCCACAAGCAAGGCCACATCGCCACCGTTTGTTTGGGTCGCAGGAAAGAACATTCATCAGAAGAGTTGCCTCGGAAAGGTACCAGGGTCCCCAGTCAAAATAGGGTGGGCTTTTGCGTGAGTAGAAGGAGCGTGTTTAGGACAGGCACCCATTGCCCACTCAAGGAGAAGTTACACCTCAAAGTCAAGTTGCAAGGGGTTCCTTCTGACATGGAGTTGGACACGGGTTCAGCTCTATCAATAATTTCCCAAAGGACACTTCAGCAGATTTGCAGTCGAAGCAGCAAACGAGTTAAGCTCAGGCTGTTGAACCTCGTCTTAACCGACTTCCAAAATTCCCGGGTAAACGTAAAGGGGGAGGCCACACTCGGGGTGCAGTTCAGGAATTTCGAGGGTCCCTTGGAAGTCGTAGTTGTTGAGGGCAACCGCACTAGCCTAATTGGGCTCGATTGGTTTGATGCTTTGGGAATTCGAGTGACTGGGTTAAACAGCTTGCAAACGTTGAGCCTCTCGGCAGTATGTAAAGAGTTTGCTGATCTTTTCAGCTCAGAGTTAGGGGCATACAAAGGGCCCCCAATTTCCCTCCGGCTTGATCCTACGATAGCACCGATAAGGATTAAGCCTTGTCGGGTGCTTTTTGCCCTGAAGCAGAGAATCAATGCAGAGCTGGACAAACTGTTGCAGCAAGGCATTTTGGAGCCGGTGGATAGCAGTCCATGGGAAGCTCCCATTGTCACGCCACTTAAGGCCAACGGAGAAGTCCGCATTTGCGCCAACTATAAATGCACGCTAAACAAAGCTCTCCAGCAGCACTCCTATCTGGTGCCTGTAGTCAGCCACATCTTGGCTTCACTACAGGGAGGTCGCATTTTCGCCAAATTAGATTTGGCACAGGCCTACCAGCAGCTGCCGGTGGACAACGCCACGGCGGAGGCCCAAACCATTGTAACCCACTGGGGAGCCTTCAAGGTGTGACGGTTACAGTTCGGGGTTAATGTAGCCTCTGGCATTTTTCAGAGCGTGATGGAGCGCACGCTCCGTAACATTCCAGGTGTATGCCCATACTTCGATGATGTCCTCATAGCTGGGGAATCAGTCGAAAACCTCGCTGACAGGCTCCGGGCCGTCTTGCGGCGCTTCTGCAAAGCGGGGCTGAAGCTCAAACAGGAGAAATGCAAAATTGGAGTCACTTCCACAGATTTCCTGGGGTTTCGTATAGATGCCGAAGGCATTCATCCTGCTGAATCCAAGGTTAAAGCAATTCAGCAGGAACCCAGTCCCAAGACGAAGGGAGAGCTTCAGTCTTTCCTGGGACTCCTCAACTTCTATCATGCATTCCTCCCCCACAAGGCCGCAGTGGCAGAGCCATTACACCGGCTCTTGGACAAACAGGCCCCATGGAAGTGGACAAGTGTCCATGAGAGGAGTTTTGCTGCAGTTAAAGCATTGTTGTCCTCAAATGCGGTGTTAGCTCATTTCAATGAGCAGTTGCCAGTCTGCATCGCGTGTGATGCATCCCTGTATGGGATCGGAGCTGTGTTAAGCCATCTTAGGGATGATGGGACACAAGTCCCTATAGCTTATTACTCCAGGACTCTTTCAGCAGCAGAACGGAATTACGCGCAAATAGATAGGGAGGCATTGGCCATTGTGGCTGGCATAAAAAAGTTTCATGACTTTTTGTATGGCCACCGCTTCATGGTCTTCACTGACCACAAGCCACTTCTGGGATTGTTCACTACGAACAAGCAGACACCCCAGATTATCTCTCCTAGAATGTTGAGGTGGTCAATATTCTTATCTGCTTTTGATTATTGTCTGGTTCACAAACTGGGTAAAGAAATGGGCCACGCAGACGGCCTTAGTAGGTTGCCTCTACAGCTATTAGAATCAGATACTGCTCCAGCTAACCACATCCTGGCTATCCAGGATTTGCTGGAGTCTCCCCTTATTGCAGGGGATGTTGCTGCAGAAACAGTTTCTGACAGCACGTTGAGCCGTGTGTTGAACTGTGTGCTCACAGGATGGACGGAAACGTGTCCTGGCCCTAACTTCCAGAGTTTCTGGAAAAGGAAGCATGAGTTATCCACCTTTAAGGGTTGTATTTTGTGGGGCAGCAGGGTAGTAATCCCGACCTCACTGAGGACTAGAGTCCTTGATTCTCTGCATGAGGGACATCCGGGCATAGTCCAGATGAAAGCGCTCATGCGTAGCTACCTCTGGTGGCCTGGGCTCGATAAAGACATCGAGGCCCAGGTCCACAGGTGCCTCATTTGCCAGCAGTCAAGGCCAGAAATGCCACATGCTCCTGTGCATAGATGGGAGACCACACAAGCCCCTTGGTCGAGGATTCATATTGATTTTGCTGGCCCCTTTCAGGGACAACTCTTCCTCATTGTTGTGGACAGTCACTCCAAGTGGCTAGAGCTCGTTCCAGTGTCCAGTATGACTACTGCCAGGACCATCCAGGTACTGCACACCATCTTTGCAATGCATGGGCTCCCAGATGTCATAGTCTCAGACAATGGGGCTCAATTTACTTCTGCAGAGTTTCAGTCCTTCTTAAGGGCGAATATGATTAGGCATGCCACTTCGCCTCCCTTCCACCCGGCCTGTAACGGCCAAGCGGAACGCATGGTCAGAACGACCAAGGAATCCTTGAAGAGGATCACCAATGGCAATTGGCACCACAGGTTGGCAGATTTCCTACTCTGCCAACGCACAACGCCCTGCACTTCTACGGGCAAGAGCCCAGCTGAATTAAGATGGGGGCGCCATCTGATCTCAAAGCTGGATCGCTTACATCCAGACAGGGTCGCTTCACAAGTGCCGCAGCCTAAGGCACCAAGGCACTTGCAAGTGGGTGATCTGGTTTGGGCGCGCAACTATGGACAAGGGGCACTGTGGGTGGTAGCTGTGGTTTGCAAGGTGTCAGGGCCGCTCTCATACAAAGTGGCCCTGGAAGACGGTCGTGTGCTCCGCAGGCACATTGACCAGCTGCGTTGGACGTTACCACGCCACTCTTCCGCTCCTGACTCTGCTCTCGGGGGGGAGGAGGAACACGATTGTGATTGTGCATCTGAGTCAGCGAAAGCGGGACCTTGCGATTGCCGAACAGTGGTTTTGCCAACGAGGCTGCTCCTAACTCAGGCACTGCGCCCATGGGACATTGCTCTCAATTGGCTTTTCATGCCGCTCCTGCTTCAGGCATTGCGCCCACGGGACATTGCTCTCAATCGGCTTTTCACGCCGATCCGGTGGATTCTACTCCACCACCACGGAACTCTGGCTCAGGCCTACCGGAACAGGCCAGCCACAGGGAAATGGACAAAGGCTTGGGTCTACTGGAACAGGCCAGCCTTCACAAATCGGCTTTACCCGTGTCGGACGGGTCACACAGGCCCGGTCTGCCGAGCCTGGCAGGCGAGCTTGCAGATCGGGAGCTAGCAGCAGCTCTGAGACGTTCGGAGCGGGTGAAAGGCCCACCAAAATTTTTAAAGGACTACGTAAGGTTTTTGTCATTGCAAACTTAAAATGCTTATGTATTTTTATTGCAAACTTAAATGCTTATGTATGTTTCTTTGAAATTTGAATGCTTATGTATTTTCCTTGCAAACTGAAATGTTTAAGTATTCTTAAATATTGAACAGTGTAATGTAAGGATTATGTACCAATGAGTGCTATTGTGCCTTTTGAATGTGTGTAATCTTTGAACAACAAACAATGCTTTGTAAGTGTCAAAGAGCCAGGGGGGAGGGGTGTAATGTATTGAGTTAAATTTATGAAGCAGGTGGCTGGGATCTGTGCAGGAATGGTTAGCAGACCACGTGGCCTGCTAGCCAGACTTGCTGTCTACAAGACTGATTAGTATGCATTTGAGCGGGAGAATACTGTGCTCTCATTGGCTGATGCCGCCCAGAGTTGAATGTATAAATAGGGGTGGAGCAATGCTTGTGTCATGTGTCTGAGTAACGAAACACTTAAAAGGACTTTCAGGCATTTTTTCTCCTAAAAGCATTTATTAAGATTACAATACGTCAGCACAGCATGGTGGAATGCTTAGATCTGCTTCTCTTCCGCTACGCATAACATTCCAAACATTTTCCACTCCCTTATTGTAGGGTCATGGTTCACATCTTCCAATCAACTTG